CCTATCTGAATCGGGTCCAAGACTTGAGCGAACAATGTTAGAGAATTAGGGCGTACTTCAGACATCGTTGAAAACTGCGGATGTTACAGTATTAAGTACGCTCGATTGAAAACCAAGTGCTGATATCGATAGATCGAACGGAATTAGCCGCCAATTTCGCGATTCATATTGACTATAACACAGAATACGGTCATATTCACGTAATAATTTGAAACGTTTGTTAAAATAAATTGTCATTTTCAGATGTTTCTAATTATTTGTGTGTGTGTGTTTTCGAAATTATCTCTTTAGCTGTAACATTATAGCTCGACTAGAAGTCTAGCCGGGGTGAGTCTTGCTGGAATTTATCAGATAGAATTATGAAATGGAATAGCAGCTGTTAGCTTCTATAATTTGTTCCTTAGCTTTTTTTTCCAACTTTTCCTAGTTCCTAACTTTTCTGGCCATTAATTTTCGGCGGACTGACGCTTTCACTAATAACTCATTCATTAATGAGTGTGGCTGCACGCTTGTCAGTGGTTACCACAACAACGCACTCGGAGATGCGGGTTACTTGCCCAGACTGTGCCGCTCCCAATGGGTTTGGTGCTTAAATCATTATTCAGGTCAGGCTTCGTAATGTTCTTTTATTGATTGTCTCCTGAAGCCATTTTTGTCGTTAAAGTGATATCATGCTAAGTTCTACATGGTTTAGTGACACAAATGTGACATCTGGTGCAGATCTATCTTTGCCAAATTATCAGAATTTCCAGTCGACGGTTTTCAATAGCCAGATGAATTTCTCCGGAGTGCATTCTCTCTCTCTCTCTCTCTCTCTCTATAAGGAATAAGCTTTTTTTCGCTACGAATACGTTTGTAACAGTATTAGACATCATCCTGTGCGTGTCACCAATTAGGACTCAGTCATAACCGGGCCAAATTCATCAATGGACTTAGACAGTTTTTAGTATCCAGTTCAGCTCGTCAAATCACACGTGATACTCTGCGGTTAAGAAATTTCTACATCCAAAATGGAGATGTGGCCTTTCCTGAGGTGATTGCTTCATAAAACCGCACGCAATTCCTATTACGTTGTTATCTCCTCGAGGTCTTTGACAAGTTCGTCGAGCTTGCGCCAATAAAGTAAAATTTCTGCTTCTTGTCGAAGAATAAGACGGGCCGATCCGCCGAAAGAATGACGATCAGTTTCTTCTTCATAACCATATTTCGCCGCTAGGTTTGCGAACGTCGAGGTTATTCCCTTTATCAACTCAGCCGCAAGGCATAAGTCGGTCAGTTTTGCGTACCCATTAGCGCTAGGCCGGATGGCTTGATGTAGCAATTTCGAACTTGGACGCCGTACTGGTTCTCGGGTGTAAAAGCGCTCTATATTTAAATGCGAACTCTGCCATACATTCTGAAATGCAAGCTTCGATACGACATTATATATGGTACAAATTTTCAAAGTAATCACATTTGTGATGGACTTCATCGGGCAGTGAAGTCTCTTTCGTACTGTCAAATCCCATGTTTTGGTGCGTCTACTGTATAGGGTAGCCTGATTACTACCGACTGTATATTCATGGCGTAAATGGCTCCACTGTTATCACCTGCAAAACACAGCCGAATCCGCCCGAGGTCAATAGAAACGTCAAACACGAGTGCGTCTGTTGACACCCCTTCTATTCCGAGTGTCTATATCCATCCACTTCCACCCTGAAATCTTTAGTTGGTAGTCCTTTAATAGACGAGGGAGGACAAACAGCCATCTGTTGGCCAGGCTTGCCATCGGTGCTGTAGCGGTGTCAATAGATTAACGAAGAGATATTACAGTAATAGTATTAGGTTGGCGATAAACAGCCCATGTCCGACGAGTCGCACAATTAAAGTTAAACGTTTCGGTAAAAATGGGTAACCCTGGTTTGAACCCATCGATCAACGGGTGATGGGAAAATCGCGACTCATATGCACTTGCCTCTTGGTGAAGAAACGGGATGAAACGTCGATAAGAACACATATAGGGTTAGGTAAATTTGGGCATGGCCGTAGAGCTCACTGAGCAAGTGATGTTTATCAAGCAAACACTTCACGAGATAAGTGATGACAATGCTGGTGATAGTGAGGACGATAACAGTACAGAACGTAAAGGTCTTTATAATTGCAATTTGTTAAATATATATGTACAAAGAATAAAAGAAAATTCAATGAGAGACGTCAGCTCTTAGCAAAGTTACATCATGCTTAGGAAGGGGCGCCACGCTATTGATGGATAAACCAAAATTTAACTTTGTTATAAACATAACAAAACTCGTGCGTTGTCTCACGCATTTAATCAACAGTGATAGTAGCACATATGTAGAACCGAAAAAAAAAACAGCCGAAGTAAGTTTTTAAGGGTTCATATATCTTTCGACAGAAACTTCTGAGCTTTATCATTAAGAAATCATTATTATTTAAAAAATTTTATTTTTTTATAAATAAATAGAAGAGTATGTAT